GGGGAGGGAAGTGACGAAAGGGGTGCTTTAGTCTGTCCTTGAAAAGGAGGATTACTACTGATATCCTTTCCCCTCTTATTCTCTTCTTGTTGCGCGCGGGGGGTATAGGGGTTATTCTGTCCTTGAAAACAAGGACTACCAATTCTTTTTCGTATTGTTTTCTTCCAGGATAGTCTTGCAGTTTTTTAATGTTTTAATCATAGGCCAGGTGGACTGCCCTGCCGTGCAGACTGGGTCGGGCAACTTGCCCGGGGGGTCTGATGGCCGGGGTAAACCTGGGCATGGGAATAAGTGGGTGTCTTCTTCTTCTTCTTCTTTTTTTTTTTCTTTTTTTTTTTTTTTTTTTTTTTTGCGATGGGGGTTCTCCTCGTATCCCGGGAGGAGCGCAAAATTAGGGCTCAGGCTCTTTTCTTGTTTTTCGAGTATTGGCTGGCAAGGGGGAGGAAGGGGGTATAGATTGGTTTTGAAGGGGCGAAAGGTATTTCCAGGGGGGCTCCTTGGTCTGATTTTTTTTTATTTTATTTTTTTTTATTTTTTTTGTCTCTGGTTCCGTGAGGTATTTGGGTGTGACCCTCAGCCAATAGTCGTTTGCATTGCGTTTCTTCACAATTTTTTCCGCCGAAAATTTTGGGATTTTGTTGTTGTTATTTCAGCTTGTTAGTTTATTTTTTTGGGCACTGAGTTGGGCCTGGACGGGCACCCGGACGTGCATCCGGGCACAAGTTGGGTGCCCGCCGAAAAGACACCCTAGGTTTTAATCGATTTTATGATTCTTATCATTTATGTTCCTTTTCAGGATGTGAATGGTTTACAGTCCGTAAACTGATAGTAAACAGATCATGACTTCGAATCCGGACCAGATTCGAATAATCCAATAACAATAAGGTTAGCGGCAACCCGTTTTTGAAAAAGGAAAAATGGATACCACTGTTTGACGATATATAAGCGTAAAATCCAGACTCCCCACCACTGTAGTAAAAGAATCGACTGTTAATATATTGAGAAATTGAAAATGATAAAGCAAATTAGCAATTGTAAAACAGGAAAACGCAGAATTTTTTTTTTTTTTTTTTTTTTTTTTTTTTTTTTTTTTTTTTTGTTATGATGTATATATATTTTAAATCATATACGCATAT